TACCGTGTCTACCGTGTGTCTTCCGTGTGTCTACCATGTGTCTGCCGAGTGTCTACCCTGTGTCTACCGTGTGTCTGCCGTGTGTCTGCCGTGTGTCTTCCTTGTGTCTACCGTGTATCTCCCGGGTGTCTACAGTGTGTCTAGCGTGTGTCTGCCGTGTGTCTACCGTGTCTACCGTTTGTCTACCGTGTGTCTACCGTGTGTCTACCCTGTGTCTACCGTGTGTCTACCGTGTGTCTACCGTGTGTCTACCGTGTGTCTGCCGTGTCTACCCTGTGTCTACCGTGTGTCTTCCGTGTGTCTTCCGTGTCTGCCCGGTGTCTTCCGTGTGTCTATCGTGTGTCTACCGTGTCTACCGTGTGTCTGCCGTGTGTCTACCTTGTGTCTACCATGTGTCTACCGGGTCTACCGTGTGTCTACCGTTTGTCTACCCTGTGTCTACCGCGTGTCTACCGTGTGTCTACCTTGTGTCTACCCTGTGTCTGCCGTGTGTCTACCCTGTGTCTACCCTGTGTCTTCTGTGTGTCTGCCGTGTCTGCCGTGTGTCTTCCGTGTGTCTGCCGTGTGTCTACCCTGTGTCTACCGTGTGTCTACCGTGTGTCTACCGTGTGTCTGCCGTGTGTCTACCCTGTGTCTAACGTGTCTTCCGTGTGTCTGCCGTGTGTCTGCCTTGTGTCTCCCGTGTGTCTACCCTGTGTCTACCGTGTCTACCGTGTGTCTGCCGTGTGTCTTCCATGTGTCTACCGTGTGTCTACCGTGTGTCTACCGTGTCTACCGTGTGTCTTCCGTGTGTCTACCGTGTGTCTACCGTGTCTACCGTGTGTCTTTCTTGTGTCTACCGTGTATCTACCGGGTGTCTACAGTGTGTCTACCCTGTTTCTGCCGTGTGTCTACCGTGTCTACCGTGTCTACCGTGTGTCTTCCGTGTGTCTACCATGTGTCTGCCGAGTGTCTACCCTGTGTCTACCGTGTGTCAGCCGTGTGTCTTTCTTGTGTCTACCGTGTATCTACCGGGTGTCTACAGTGTGTCTACCCTGTTTCTGCCGTGTGTCTACCGTGTGTCTACCGTTTGTCTACCGTGTGTCTACCGTGTGTCTGCCGTGTCTCTACCGTGTGTCTACCCTGTGTCTACCGTGTGTCTACCGTGTGTCTACCGTGTGTCTTCCGTGTGTCTATCGTGTGTCTACCGTGTCTACCGTGTCTACCGTGTGTCTGCCGTGTGTCTACCTTGTGTCTACCCTGTGTCTACCGGGTCTACCGTGTGTCTACCGTTTGTCTACCCTGTGTCTACCGCGTGTCTACCGTGTGTCTACCTTGTGTCTACCCTGTGTCTGCCGTGTCTACCCTGTGTCTACCCTGTGTCTTCCGTGTGTCTGCCGTGTCTGCCGTGTGTCTACCGTGTGTCTGCCGTGTGTCTACCGTGTGTCTACCGTGAGTCTACCGTGTGTTTAGCGTGTGTCTACCGTGTGTCTACCGTGTGTCTGCCGTGTGTCTACCGTGTGTCTACCGTGTGTCTGCCGTGTGTCTTCCGTGTGTCTACCGTGTGTCTTCCGTGAGTCTTCCGCGTGTCTACCGTGTGTCTGCCGTGTCTACCGTTGTTTGCAACATGCCCGTCTTATTGCGTGTCGCCGGCCTCAAAGAAATTGTAGATGTCTAAAGCCTGCATGAACTGAAATACTGTACAAAGTAGCGTTACCAAACTCACTCACTCAACCACTCAAGTCACTCACTCACTCACTTACTCGCTATGACGATTCAACTTGAATCCTCCGCTGAAACCGACAACAATGCTGTAAAGATTCAAGTTGAATCCTCCCCTGAAACTGATCACATTGCTCCGAAGATTCTAATTGCACCCCCTCCAAAAACTGAGCACAGCGCTCTATCGCGGTCCTGCGATACAGATAGGGATGACACAGACAGCCCTCGATCTAACGTCGTGTTGGGCCCAAAGGAGTAGCCTGGTGTGACATATTATATCATATTTTCTGATTCCACATGTAAAAGAGTTTCAGTACACAATTATTGTACCCCCAGTCTTTGGCTCGTAAGCTTATAATCATCGGCAATTTCCGGAAGTAATCGTAAATGTCAATTTTTTCCTATTTTAAATAAAGCCTTTCTCTGCAATTTATAACATTGGCAGAACTAATTAATTTCCATATTCAGTTTATTAATTAGTAGTATTTTCACTTTCTATATCTCGTAACGAAAATGTTCTACATTTTCGCATGGTGCATTTTTGTTATCATCTCATCTCGCGCCAAGCTCATGCTAATGTGTCTTTTCCCAGCAAGCCATTTTCAACGTTTATACTTCATTTCCCAGAAATTAACGAGAATTATTACCCATATGGGCTCAAATATGCAGTGTAATAACTTTTTGATATTTGCACAGTGTGCAATTAGTGATTCTCGAAGCTGATTGGTCAGTTAAACAAATGTCAATTTTCATTGGTCAACGGGACTATTTTTCTCTCATTGAGTTCATTCACAAATCCAGGGCATTCATTCACATGTTTTACGTGCTACAATCTCACTTAATCGAGATTTATAAGACTAGAACATAGTTTCATATCAACCACATGATTTCACAGTATAATGAATAAAGCATTTATTTCGCACGAGTTTTAGTTTACAATAAGCGTAATTACAAAAAAACAAAACTACGTCTGCATTGTTTGTAAACAAACATGGCTGACCATTTGACACCTGTCAAACTAAATGACCTCGTTAAAGTAGACGGAGATCTGACAGGAAGAGTTATTCGTATAATTCAACCTCTGAACACATTTAATGTCTTTGTTGTGAAAAATGCATATGGCCAGATTGAAGTTCCAAGATTCAGATTGTGATGTTGCCAGAAACTGTTTCTAGTGCGCTAAAAATCAACACCACCAAGTCCGGATTTGCGTCTGTGTTAGAGGACTTGCTGTTTGGCGAATCTTTCGACCACACGAATCCCCCAAAACCGGACTTTGTATAGACAGGTTTGCCTTTGTGAACGATGATGATATCGATAACTGCCAATGAAAAGGAAAACACAATGAAAAAGACTAAATTTGACAAGTTTACATGAACTTAGTTCAAATTTATACTGGTAAGAAAAACACGAAAAATAAGACTACTCACGCTTTCAATGATAGCATAAGAATAAAAACAAATTCCTTTTGCAACAACAGTTAGACTTTCCGAAAGACATTATAAACATACGCCATTTCGTAGAATTTAAGTTTGTAACATTGTGTGAAGAAAATAGAAAGCGACACTTTTTTATACAATGTATACTCGGACCCCATGGTACCGCGGCATTCATCGTATCGCGGCATTTGTGATTTCCGGTAGTTCACGCGGGACACGCCGCTTAGCGGCTGTCTATTAATGCAAATCAGTAACCAGGAAGTGCTCACTTCGTACACAATTTCAATTTCCTCGGAATGTTCCGTCTGCTGTAAGTAAGGAGTTATTAATCCGTTGATACATATTTCTGGCATCTGTTGTAATATTGCCTTACCCCCATCTATCAATGGCCAACGATATAACCCGCAGTTCCCCAAGTAAACTTTCTCTATCGACCTGAACTAGATCATCTGCATATTCATGGCGACTAATGAGGTAACGGAAGTTACGTAATCCGCACATTTTTCCCCGCTCTGTGCCCAGAATCCAAACTTAGAAATACGTTCTTCACTAGTAACCAAAAGATAAATACATACTTTGGGCATACTAGGAGTGCTTTTTATATATTTATTGTTGACTTTTAACATTTTTCCCTTTTGTGACAAATTATTGTCATCCAATTTTTTTAAACAATCTAAAAATATCATTTCTGATATTTTGATGTTGACTTATAAAAATATTTTTCTCTTACTTTTCGGTAAATATGCATTGAATACCTATTGCTGATAACACATTTAGAATTTTACTTGTGCTGTCTTTGCACTTGTCTGGACAAATCACTGATGTCTGGCATGATCATACCAAGTGGTTGGTAGAATTATGTCCTCTTTTTGTCCAATTCGGACCTCCATACACAACTTTTCTCTGTACCGCGATACGATGGAGTTCTCTACCTTGTCAAACAGAGCGCGAGGCCCGGCTTTTACTCGGAGCTACTAATGTAAATAATGAACTTGTATCAGTAAAATATGCATTGTTTGATAACATGAATGATATCTGATACAGAGAACACGAATAAACATAAAGGTTAGTGAGTGCATTTTGTTCCGTTTAGCGTACATGACGAGTACCGCGATACCCCGAGGTTGCAGGCTATACGTTTTTGTAACCGCGACGTCAGCACAGTACGGGCACCATAAGACTATGAGGGTTAATGACAGGAAATGTGCAACTAAACATTATTCTTTTCAAATTTATCATTTCGGCATGCACATCAGACGGTTCAGAATTCGAATTGCCTACTTTGAAGGAGATCAAGGGTAGCACCGAGTGCTACCTTAGCGACAAGATTACCAACATCTGGTTGCGAAATCGATGCACTTTGCTGAACACAAATAGGTTTTGAAATCAAAACAAAAATAATTAAACATGCAATGAAAAGAAAACTTACCCAGCGAGGTGATCCTGTGTCCTACATTTAACTAAATGAACTCCGTGAATGCGGACAGCTTGTCACAAAGTCTCCAGATACCGTGTTAGTCTATCAACAGGTATTCGACCATTATGAATCACATCAAAATTATTTTTCAAAGTTTACCTACTTGTCGTAACTTTTCTCAATCAAACATGACTTCTGACAGGAGTTACTTCCCTTAGCTTCGGGAATTGTCAACTGTGTCTCGTGTCGTTTTGGATGATGATGTCGAGATGTTGCGAAAGTAGTGAATTAGTTTTCCTTTTTGTATTTTAACCTAGTCCGTGAACCTAAATGTTTTACTTCGTAGACTGATAATAATATCACAACATAGACTGTGTCGTGTTGCACCAGTGAATATTGTTGGAGACAAAACCATAACAGTAGTTTTGTTTTCCTGCATAGGCGTCACCATGGAGATGTGTTGCTCCATCTGAAGTGTCTCAGCTGTTTGTAGACTCCTTGGGGGTGAGTGCTGATCAGCAGCTACATTAACAATATTTCAACTTTTAATTACCAATCTAGTCACTGTCCATTTATTTATTATCAGTATTAAGTCGTATTCAACTATATCATTCTATTTCATCAACCTGTAATTTCATATAACATTCCTTAATTGTCATCATGTTGGTATGAACTATTCAGTGTAGGATATGTTGGTTTATCATGTAATTGAAATGGATTTTCATCCTGGTGAATGTAACATCCTGACGGGAGTAATATCTACGTCTGAATAATATTGTATGAAGTTTGTTATGAATTGAAATGCTTTTTCACCATAATAACTTATGTACACTGTTACCATATGGCCATGTTTATAAGAAATGTTATGTGTGTTTGTTTTAGGTTACGCCATGGGTGGCTACGATTCTAGCTACTACGGCGAATAAACGAGATTGAAGAGAGATATTTTGCTTGGTCCTCTTTAACCCCCCCCCCCCCCCCCCCCCCCCCCCACACACACACACATAATCTGAATAATTCATTCCATTCATTATCATTATCCTTAATACAATTGTTATCTGACAAGCCAGTCGCAGTGAACCTTCAAATCATATATAACAGCAGGGTTTCACTGTTATAGAATGGTGATTTAAAGCTCGTATAGTCAGCAAGAGTCTAGTGGTGGCCTGTAAAATACTTGTCACATACGAACATGTGATGATGCTTGCATTATGAGAGTCTTCGTGAGAGTGACCGCCTCCGTGGTCTAGTGGTGAGCGAGAGCGTATGAATTTATCATGTATGTGTTTACTTATAGCTATGTTATTTATGTATAATGTAAAGCGTTGATAGGGGGCACGGGTGGCCCAGTCGTCTAAGGCGCCGCGATTTACTGTGCAGAGTTGCATCCCTTGGGCACGCCAGAAACCTATGATTGTGGGTTCAAATTCCGGTTCGCCTCAATTATGTTTCTAGGTTTGTCAGCACCATACCCGTGTTCGTGGGTTTCACCGAAGTGGTAAACGTCTGAGACCTGCATCACTTCGGGCTTTCCTCCAACATTAAGCTGACATTATAACTGGAATACTGTTAAAAGCGGCGTTAAACCCAACTCACTCACACACTCACAAAAGCGTTCATGTGTAGGTGAGGTGAGGTGAAATGGGGTTTAACGTCGCGTTCAAGATTATTGCACTTATATAGCGACGTGCATGTACGTGTGTGTGTGTGTGTGTGTGGCTGCTTGTACTAGTCCGGACTGATGCCGATTTATAGTGCTAGCTCACTGAGATACCATGCCACAGACTAACATGAATACCCCACTCCGACACAGTATACTGACTCCGAGCCGACCAGTCCTTGTTTTAGCCCCTTTAATGCCGAGCGCCAGACATGGTAACAACAAGTACCATCTTTTAACGTCTTTTGGTATGACGCGGTCGGGGATCGAACCCCGGACGCTCTACCACTAGAACACGGAGGCGGTTCGTTCATGTGTATGTTTTGTGTAACACATAATGTGTGTTTGCTAAGATTACCAGTTTTACCTAAGTGAGCATGTTTGTCTTTGTATTTGTATTAAGATGCAGGCATCATTGTCTTGGCAGTTTGTGTTGGGTGAACTCAGTTTGCGCCCCGGTTTCACCTTCAGGGTATGCTTGTATTTCTTGTGTATTAATGTAATCATTAGTTGTATTTAGCATATCATCACATGTATAGGGATAGAAATGCATATGCAGTTATTGTGACTTATAACACATTCTTCAATGTATTTTGGGCGGGCGGGCAGCCTAGTGGCTAGCCTAAAGCGTTCGCTCGTCACGCCGAAGACCCGGGTTCGATTCCCGACATGGGTACAATGTGTGATGCCCATTTCATGTGTCCCCCGTCGTGATATTGCTGGAATATTGCTACAAGCGGCGTTATACAATATTCACTCACTCACTTCAATGTTCTTTGTTAAAAACATGAGTTCTATCTATTTCTATGATGTCATCGGTTTGACGATGTGACTGAACATAATACAATATGATTGCATATTTATGTCTGTGTATATTTATATATAAATATATATTTAAGTGTATATTTATTATTTTAGGTATTTGTTTCAGGGCGTTTGTTCAGACCGTCAATGAATCATCTTCACATACAACAACCCGTGTTATTTGTGAACAGCCCCGGTTACACATGTATATATACATAACAGAAGTGTAACTCACTAAGCATTTACTTCTATCAAAGTATTTCCTCGTCTCTCAATGTTCAAACTGAAACTGCTTCATAATTTTTTCTGTGTGGCTGAGTGATCTGAGTATTATCTTCGGTTTTCGGATTTAAAGAGCTTTTTATTCTCACTACATTATGATTCATCATGCACAATATTAGAAATAGCACGTATCTAAATAACTTGACTAAAATATATGAAACCAATTTAAACTTGTCCGTTTACAACATAACATTGATGTGCGCAAATGAGGCGACTCGAACTTGGCCATCAAGTAATGAATATTAAAAATATCTCGTTACATGACACGGCAACAAAAACTGAATCCTTACCATGTCTTTATCATTATGGGAATTTCAATCAAGTATGAAACTTGACATAAACGGCTAAGTATGAGAGACACAGATGAAAGGCTATTTTGTAAAAGTGAGTGAGTAAGGTTTTACGCCGCCTTTAGCAATATTCCAGCAATATCACAGCTGGGAACACCAGAAAAGTGAATCTCTATCACTGTACCAACTTCCGTTGTTTCATATTCTGTGACAACCCAGATACACTAGAAACCACCTTGTTTCTGGTGATTTCATCAATGTCTCCTTGCTTGAAACGATGGTTTTCCCATACAACGAGTGACTGAGTGAATGTTGTTTTACACCAAGCAGTCTGCAGTATGCCAGATTTATCGTCATGTTCGTCTTGGCATGGCAACCAGTGGCTGACAGCATGAGTAAGGATCAATGCCGTCGGGGTACGATGACACAAACCAGGATGGTCACACTTGTTACCGTGACTCCATACTCACTCACCCACCCACCCTCCCAGCCACTCACTTACTCACTCACTCACCCACCCTCCCAGCCACTCACTCACTCACTCACTCACTCACTCACTCACTCACTCACTCACTCACTCACTCACTCAATGCAAAGGCAACCGGTCATCTTGCTGGACGTAGCATTTGACACGCAACACGGCGGGATACGCTGTTTTCTTATTCTCACTGCTATGAATAATAATAATAATAATAATGGGAGTATACAACCCAAGCTTCCTTATGACGCCCTAGAAGGTAAACAATCAAAGTATAATCTCATCCTACCGGGTACCCATTCACTGCTGGTTGAACAGATTCATATTGCGAACAAAGTCTCTTACCTAAGGAGACACCGCATGTGACACAGGTGCTTCAGGAAGGGGTAAGAGTCAAACTTGCCAAACAGTGCCATCCATCCAACCACTCTCCGCCTCCAATGTTACCTAATGTCGCCTGAGTTGTGGCTTGTGCGCAGTACAAAGTACCACACGTCACTCCCGTCTGTATTTCTAGCGAATGTTACAAACGACTTGGCAATATGACTGATGTTTACAAGCTGTTATATGGCAGCGTATTTCATTGTTTAACAATGATTGTGACTGTGTTGCATTGTTTCTGTTGGGATTCGGTAGACGCTCATTGCATTGTGCCCGGTCCGGTATACCGCGGACGGTGATAGTTTGTTATAGAAACCTCTGTGATGTTATCGTGCCGTTATACTGGTGAAGGCACTGTGTAGAACATTCCAGTAGCTAGATGGGATGTATATAAGGGGACAATAACGTGTTAACGTGTCTCTCACGCATTTTCATCACATCGGAACCAGCTTTCATTTGAGGATCACTCATCGTCCCTGATTCCCTGCCTAGCCCATCTCGGAAGCTTGACCACTGTCGCCACTGGGTGAACATATATTATTATTACTGACTTTTGCTATCACCACTGAATTTTTGTATTTGGTACTGACCATTGCGATTATATATTGCCATTGAATATTGTACTACAACTCTATTGTTTACTGCCATTGTGATTGCTGTGCAGTAGTTTGTATTGATTTGTAAACTTAATTACTATTGTAATACATTTGTTGATTGTATACTTCTTGTTGGTTGTTGATTGGTTTCACAAACAGTTCTTTTACGTACAGATTTCAGGGTTAACACATTGTTTCAATTTGGCAATCGACACTAACAAAGGATAGTACTGTTTTGTTTGCGTCTAGACTGAGTTTAACACTCACTCACAGGAACTAACTCACTCACAGGAACTCACTCACAGGAACTCACTCTTAAAATCATTGACAAAGCATTTGAAGTGTGCATCACTCTATCTTCTTGCTGCTAAGTTACATATATTCAGTATAGTGTCCGCATCATCCCTTGTTCCACACCCAGTATGGACAGTGTGTGATATGAGGTTCTGGTAAGGACGAGTTGACAGTTCAAGGATCATGAGGCTGGGGAAAATTAGCAGTCCAGGCAGGTTTGAATATGTCCCTCGATTTACTGCTACATCATATGTAAGAAGACAACTATTCCCCCAGAATACTATTTGTTTGATATCAATTTTAGCACAATTTAGATGCAGCTCTAATAGACATAGGATCGAAGTAGCCAGACATAGAAACAGAGCCAGAGAATTGAGGATATGTGAGCAATGTGGTTAAATGTGATTGAAGATGAGTTTCATTTTCTGTTGGTCTGTCCAAAATACGACCATCTAAGACTAAATATATTGAACTACATTTTTATGTACATACAACTCAACAAAACTTTATATCGATCATGTCAACAAGTGATAAAGATACTCTAAAAAACTATCAATGTTCATTTATCATGCTATGTTAATTAGAATATGACCTGTTAAACATATCAGCACCCACTCTCGAAAACAGAATTGTGCTATGGGCCTGAGGCCTCAGTATGAAATATAACTTATCCTTACCCCTATCCTGTAAGAAAGAGTGCGTTAGTTAAGTTTCGACCCATGTTCAAGCAATACCCGACGGGTGACACTAAAAAAAGGGCTTCACATCTTCCCCATTTAGGTAATCAATCCTAGATCTCGCTGGCGCCCCATTAACTACCAGTGGTCACACACGACTGTTAATGGACACAATCTTACAATGTTATCAGCAAAGGCTGTTCAAAAGATAGTTAATTAAAGTGAAAGAGATATAAGTTGTACTGTAGTGTTATAGAAATATAAGGTGTAAAGGTTATTGATGCAAAAACATGAGGAGAGAAAAAATATAATTGTGAAAAAACACATTTCTGCAGACAAACCCATTTTCAAACGGGCAAACTATCACAGGTCACAGGAAATAAGTCACGTGACTCGTTCACCCGAGAGTCGATATGAGGAAGTGTTTTGAAGCCACAACACGCGTGTGCAGCCATGGGCGACGTGAGGGTGTCTGGAACAATACTGGTATTAATGGTATCCTATTGCTC